TTTTTTCATATTTTGGAGGTTTGGTTGATGAATTCAGCGGGTTTCTCGTTCAGGGAATATACGTTTCAAATGCTTAGTGGTACTTTGTCTATCCTTCTCTTGAGCATTATATAGTGTCCCTCAGTATCTTTTTATGGTTTGCGCTTTGAGGTCAATTTCATCCGAGATTAGGATCGCAACCCCTCCTTTTTTTAATTGCTGTTTGCTTGGTATGTTTTACTCCAGTCTTTGATTCTCAGCCTATTTTTCTCTGTAGTCTTGAGATGTGTCTCCAGTAGCTAGCATATTGATGGGTTGTATTTTCTAAGTCAGCCTGTTAGCCTCAGTGTTTTGATTCCTGAGTTCAGTCCATTGATATTCAGGGTTATTATCTCCATCTGTGGACTCTGTGATGTCATCTTATACCTTTTGTGTTGGGTTTTTTCCTACCTCTCTTTCTTATCTGTGTGATGTGCATGTGTGTGTGGGTGTGTGTTTAATTATGGACTTCTTTCCACCCTTAAGCCAATGCTATCTTGGGGGCTGTTTTTTCTTTGTTGCCCTCTGGGTAGGGTTGTTCTATGTGGCAGTCTCTGATTTATGCTTGGTGAGTGCTGTTCTTCTGCCCATACTGGGTCAGCAAGGATATCTTGTAGGGTTTGGTTACTTCTAACATATTCTTTGAGTTTTTCCTTGTCTGGGAAGACTCTTTTTTTTTAAATTAATTTATTTTATTTTCCTCCACAGTTTTATTGGTATGTAAACTTTTTTATTTTTTTATTTTTTTTTAAAGTCAATTTATTGGGGGCTCATACAACTCATCACAATCCATACATACATCAATTATATAAAGCACATTTGTACAGTTGTACAATTGTTACCCTCATTATCCTTTTTAAAAAAATTATTGTATTGAGGGCTCGTACCATTCTTATCACAGTCCATACATACATCCATTGAGTCAAGCACATATGTACACCTGTTGCCCTCATCAATCTCCAAAACATTTGCCCCCTACTTTAGCCCTCAACATAGTTTGCTCATTTTCCCCCTCCCTCCCCCTCCCTCCTGA